AAATCAACGTTCTTACCTTAAGTGAGCTATAGCAAGTGAGAAAATCCACCCAAATCCTCTAGTTTGCATACATCAATACTTTTGGAACAATAAACTATACTTTCAAAATAAAAATCCAAGATTTAAATATTCAAGAGTGGGAAAAATCTCATTTTTTTTTCATTTAAAACCCAAAACTAAGCTTAAATCTTTTAGAAATGGTGATTTTAAGCAAAAATGGGTTTAAAGAGCTTAAGAGTTAGGGTTTTACCTTGAAAATGCAGTTGAGGGTTGTCAACCCTCATGAAAATGTGGTATATTTATAAGCTAAGGTGTGAAATTATATTTTTACCTTTTTTATTTTTCTAAAATTGATGAAATGTATTGATACAAGTGGCTCATGTATCGATACATTTGGTTCTAGAAAAATTGTATCAATACATTATGAACATGTATTGATACATGACCATATGTATCGATATATTATAAACATGTATCGATACATTTGAAACAAAATGTAGTTTTTGAAATCATACTACCTATAAAACCTGCCTAGTTTATTTACAATAAATACGATTTAAGTAAATGCCCTCATTTTTACTTCTTTTTTTTACTCTCCATTTACTTAAGATATTTAATGCAAATAAGATATTTAATCTAAACTTTGGTTTCAAGAACAAAATCAAAAAACTTCGACTGAAATTAAATTTGCAGCTACTATTTACCATAGCAAATGCATTCAAAAAATAATGTCATCTAAATATAAAGGGAATCTTTACCGTCATTTTCTTTTTCGAATAGTTATTTTATAAAAATCACATATTTGGACCCCTTCCAAACTCAAAAAATTTTTTACTTCAAAAGTGACAAACAACCAAAAATTTTAATGAATTCTTTTGAAGGTTAAAACTAAGTTTCATATTCAAAATAAGTAATCTATATGCTTACCTAATGATTTCCTAACTTATCCTCTTAATCAAGGTTGGATTTCACAGTTTCACTAGGCAAAGTTCCTTAAGGCATATTGTTGATAGAATTCACAAGTTAACCTCTCAAGGCTTTTCAATAAAGCTACTTGACTATAAATGAGAGAATCAGTCTTTGCCATGAATTAAATGAACATCTCTTCCATAGATGGTTTTTTTTTTTAGTCATGTGAGCTCTCGCTTAAGGTGGAAATCCAGTAAGCATATTAGGCTATGAAGTTGATATAGATCTTTGATTGTTGCTCCAAGAAAAGTTCAAATGATTCCACCATCTAGAATTACAAGTGTTGGCGTATAGGTTGTTCTGCTGCCAATTGAGATTCCTCATAAATTGAACTGATTCCCAACAATGGTTACTTGAATGCTCTTTTCCACAAATGGTCTCTGAATGGCCTAAAATCCCAAAGTTTCAAACTTTTTGGACAAAGTAGCCAGTTAAGCAGTGAAAGCATCCATCATGTGGAGGTATCTAAAAAAATATGGAAAAACAAAAAAACTTGAACTAAGACAATTTTGTTTAATTTAATATCAACAAAATAAATAGGAAATGCAAATCCCCAGCAATGATGCCAAAAACTTGTCGTTGATTTTGCATACGCAAGTATTCTTATTGCTCAAGAAATATAGAGGTAAGTCATGTATCATATCCCACAAAAATTTGCCCCTAAACTTTTACTAAGTATTAAATTTGTAACAAAATTTATCCTATCCAAGCAACTTGATTATGAGTACTTAATTAATCTAAAATTTACTACTGAAACTAAACTGAGGATATGTATTTAATTTTACTATAGAAACTATTATTTTAAAAATTTAGGATCATGGTGTCTATCAATATTTCATTTAAATTTAATCTTTTCCTTTAAACTTAGATTAATGGGTTAAATGGCTAACCTAGAATCCGATTTTATGTACAAGTCTTTTTCAAGATTCTTACACACATACTCTTCAAAATTAATTCCATATGTCTATGCAAATTAGTTAAGAAAAGCACATTAAGTTTATGTTCTAATTTGGCTGCCTATGATATATAAGTGTATGTCTATCCTAAATACGAATCTACCACCTAACCTATAAGTGAATTGAACATAAGCTATTCAAATCAATGGTCTAATCTAAACTCCCTTTGTCAAGTTGCATTTAGAGAACCTAATCATTTCAATTAATGATCAAGCAATGAAAACCATTAAACATAGGTTTGAATAAACCATACAATACCCATTAATACTAAGAAAAAATAAATAAATAAATCATATATTCAAGCTAGATATTGAAATAAAACAAAATCCTTTGTAGAGCCTTTTTCTTCAACAAACATCACAATTTCAAGAGAATAAATCTTTTCTACAACAAAAGAATGAGAGAGAAATGAAAAACCAAAATGAAAAACAAGGTTGCCATCGATTCTCAATCTTCAATCGTCTTCATTTTCTTCTCAGTTCCTCATTTGTAGAACCTTTTCTTTCTCTCTAAACTGTCGTTTGTTTCCTTTTGAGACATCCCTTTTAAGTTATTGAAAATCACATATTTATAGCCACCAAAAAACCCTAAAAGAATAAAATCTTGAATGGTTGTGTTTCAATAAAGCACGTTTGAGCGCCATGACCTTTCTCCCTGAGCATCGTGGCACTTTACACTTTTTTTTTTCATTGACTCCCAACCAGCACTACCACCCTCCTCCATGGTCATCGTAGCTCTTAGTGCTCAAGAATTTGTATGGGAGCAATGCTACTCTTTTGGACATTTGTGACCTTAAGTCCTTTGAGGCACTCAAGGTCGCGGCACTACTTCCTTGTGCCACCTTGGTGTAGAAATTGCTGCAATACCTCATCTTGCAATGCAATTTTCTCTTGCAATGCAATTTTCTCCTACCTCAAAACTAATCTAGGAAAAATGTTAAACATGACATTGTAGGCCTGCTTCTTAGCCTTTTTTAATGGTCTAAGAATCATGTTGATTGAATCTCTATAACTCAAGTTATACAAGAATTACCATAGCCTGTTTAGTGGAAATCTGCACTTAGTCTCCATTGCATTGTTCATCATCATTGAACTTTATGCATTTGAAAATGTACAAAGATAGGGACTAAATTAGTATTGGCTTAAATTAAGACTTTCAGAACTAGAATTATTTGAATTGAAATAAGTTAACATGCTTTCAACTAATTAATTAAAAACAAAAAAACTATCTAAAATCGACTTAAAATACAAGGACTTGGTTATTTTAGCATCCAAAATGTGGCTAAATAACTCTAGATAATGGAGTTATCTATACCCACGTAGGTTCATCTGTCGGTCATGATCCCTCCAGAAAATAAGATGTGACACATCTTAAGCCATCATGAATAGAAATTAAGATGTAAGACTAATCTTAAGTAGAGATAGTCAAATGAGATGGATAAAAGTTGAAATAGCACAAACTCCTAAACTCGGAGTTTATATGGATGAGGTATCAAGCCATAGAAGGAAGCCTCGATACCAATGAAACTAAATGATGGATGAGTAAGTTAGCCCTTTGATGTGTTCTAAATGGTTTTACATTCAAGATATATTCCAAAGATATGAACAACTTCCAGGGGTTTTGAAAGGCATTCAAAGGTTTAATGTAAATTTATCTTCAATTTTTGGATGATCAAATATTTTATTTAAAAGGTTGCACTATGAGTTAAAAGACTTGCATTATATTTATATGTAAAATTGGAAAATGTGCATTTGAAACCTCATACATTCATGGTTATTTAAAGCTTATATTTATGCAAATGCTTTAACCCTTTAATTTGTCCCCTTCCTATATCCACTCACGGAGTCTTTGTAACTCACACGTTAGTTTCGCATATTTTTATTGCAAATCATTGATAGCTCTCTAGTCACCAGTGTCAAGAGACATGAATCATTCTCTTTTCGATAGGTGATATTGCAGTTTTCTTGAAGCTTAGGAAGTCGAGTTATGTTCCACTTGATGAGTCAATTTTTATTACTCTTGTTTATAAATACTTGTTTATATTTGACTGTTGCACCATTGAATGGCATTATATTGATATGGAAATACATAAATATTATAGATGATGGCCTAAGGGCCCATATGAGGACCACGCATGCATTCCAATGTTAACATGAAATATGTTTATTCTTACAGATGCTACTAATGAAAATGCGTTTACATATTTTATATTGAGAAGTTCCATAATTGTGTAATAACCCCTATATATAAAGGTACATACGTATTGCGTTAAATGTTTTTATGGTTGATGATGGTGGCTCACATGTAAATGAATGATAATTATGAGGCTTACCAAGGCCTAATGGCCCATGCCCACGTAAGACCTAGTGCTAATCATGATCCTCCAGAAACAAGATGTGACTCTTATTTAAACTCTATTTTCAAAGTTTAAAATCACACAAGATTAAGCTTAAGTTTTGACATGTGACATCTTACACCACACTAAAACTCACTATAACTCCCAAACAAGCCCTAAGTCAATTTCTTTTTATGCTAAATTACACCAGGGTGTAACAGTAAAATGCATGTGTCCCTAACTAACAATGCTTGATTCAAACTTTCCTTTTCCAAAATTACCCCTTTAACACTAAATAAATAAATAAAATGTGGGTTCTAGTGGGCTTCGGAATCTATGAGAGTTATGAACTTGCAAGACCACATTAATCATTCTGAATCTTTGGTTTTTAGGCTCTAAGAGAAATACCCCATTAAACATTAGGCCAAAGCTCATGGCATTACCATATAAATATCCAAATTTAATCCAGGTAACAAAGCGATAGAGGTAAACAAATGGGTGGATTGATCCATCATAGTTAAGTACAAAATGGACCAATCATTTTTTAAAAATTGACCAAATATAAAAAAAGACCAAATCGAACAAATATAGAATTGGTTTGTTGGTCCGATTTTGAACCAATGGACCAAAATTTTATCACCTTTTTTTTGCAAATTACAATATTAAAACTTATAAACTTTATCCATAATTAAAAAATATATGAATAATCTAGACTTAAAAAAATACATTTGTTCCTTCACTCATAAAATTGTATCTTTTAACATAAACCATAAAATTAGCATTCAATATTCAACATAACAAAAAGTCGAAGATAATAAAATTAACATCCTCAAAATAAAACTAACACAAAACCATTAACTATCACAAATTATCAACTTAAATTTCCTCCATGACTTGGCTCTTCACATTCACTCACATTGGCTATCTAACAATTGAAAGAAAACAAAAAATATAATTAGTATAAAATTTAGATTAAAAATGAAAAATTATGTAAAAACTCATAAAGTTTAACATTTACCTCAATTGAAGTGTGAAGAATACATTTGTACACTCTTTCACTCATCAACAACAGAAATAGAATCCACAATCCTAATCTTTGGCATCTCTAAAATGTATAAATAAAAAAAATTAAGAGAAATAAAGAAATAAGAATTGAAAAAATAATAAAATGAAAATTACAATTACCGAATTCAACTTTTCAATGTCTGTCATATCCAACTCAATCTCATTGAAATTGAAAGATGAAGGTTCACATAACCAATCTTGGGTACAAATAAGGCTTGTGCAAACATAGGAGCTAAAGAACTCCTATATGCATTAAGCACCCTACCTCCAATGCTAAAAGTAGATTCAGATGCAACTGTTGATGTTGGAATCACCAACATGTCACGAGTTATTTCGGCAAGGATAGGAAACCTCTAACTATTGAGTTTCCACCACATCAAAACATCAAAATCATCAGAATCGGTAGCATCATGCTCACTTAAATATTTATCCAATTCTGTTTTCTGATCATCTTTGCCACTTTCAATCCTATACCTCTTGTACTCGGACAAAATAGTTGTAATATGTAATGAGCTTTCACTATCATTTGTTGCATGTTTGCTCCCTTCAACTTGACTACTTTGACTAACTGTCACATATATAGGAAACAACATCCTTTTATACTCATCAAGCAACTCTTCCATTATTTTTTCCAAATTCTTAGTCATCATGGAAGCTTGATCAGGAGAATACATTTTCATGAAACACCATCGTACAAAATCAAGGTTCTTCCTAGGATCAAGAACAGAAGCAATGTAAAGCAATGAATTCATTTTCTCAACATTTTCCCAATACTTATCAAATTTTTCCTTCATTCTCTTGGCCATTAACTTCGTATCAACATCAGGAGATCTTTGCCAATCACACAATGTGCAATAAAAAATACAAATATCATCACGAAAAGTATTAGCAGTGCAATAAAAAGTACTTGAAACTTTTACGGTGAGTTCATAAAATTGTTTGAAAAAATGACAAAGCCTTCTCACATTTTCCCAATCTGTAAGATCAGGCGCTCCATCCCCCATCAACAACTCACTTCTATAGTATTGATCAACATCTTTAAATGAATCAAATGCTTGTTCAAACTTTTGAGCTGCATCCAACTTTAAATAAGTGGAGTTCCACCTAGTGCTAACATCCATACACAACATACTTTTCAATTGAATCGTAGCAGCTATAACGTAATCTTTAAATTTCGCTAACCTAGCAGGAGATTGTCTCACATATCTCACAGCACCTCTAACACAAGCAACAGATTCATGCATTTCTTTCAATCCATCATTCACCACGAGATTAATAATGTGAGCAATACATCTCAACTGAATATATTTGCATCCAAGAATACCATTCCCTAATATATTCATTCTTTTTTTCAAGTATGCAATTGCAAGATCATTCGAACTAGCATTATCAACTGTCACTATGAAAACTTTATTAATCCCCCAATCCCGCATGCAGTTCTCCATTGCCATCCCAATGGCCTCACCTTTATGACTAGAAATTGGACAAAAGTTGATTTTTTTTCAATTTTCAATCTTTTTCTACAAAATGAGCTGTTAACCACATATAATTAATCCTCTTTAATGAGGTCCATGTGTCTATTGTCAAGGATACTCGTGAAAAAGATGTCCTTAGTAATTGTTTCAAGTTGTTTCTTTCCTTAACAAAGAGTTTATAACAATCCCTTACAATAGTCCATCTTGATAGCACAACAAATTTAGGACATGCAATATGCATCATTTCCTTAAACCCTTACCCCTCCACAAACTTAAATGATAATTCATTGTGAATTACCATTTTTGCTATGGCCTTCCTAATAACATCTTGGCTAAACTTCCAAGTACCTAAAGACCCATCTCCCAATTGAAAAACTAATTCCATTTGACGATTATTACTATCTCGGGGAAATGCCTTTCAACTATCCATGTGTTTCTTTATTGAAGATGTGATGTAGACAGAGGGTTTAGAGCAATTAGAACTCAACAATTAGGGCTAGAATAGGGTTGATTATGTTGGGACAATAGAAAGATAATTGGGTTTTAAAAGAAACCTCTTGAATAAATATTCAAAAATAACAAAAGATGATAATAAGAATCCTATATCTGGAATCACCTATTTATAATAGCTAAGATAAATCCTAATCAAATAGTAATGCTAAGATAAATCCTAATCAAATAGGAATCCTAATCCTAACTAAAGACTGAAAGTACTAAAATTCTAATAAAGAAAAAAAAACTCAAACTAAATAAAATAAAATAAAATCCTAAGCTAATAAAAATACTAAAAAAATAAATTTCCATATGCACTTACATCAATCCCCTCGAGTCAGAAAAAGACTCGACTACGACGAGTATGCCTTGACATACTCCTTATAGATGTCTAGATCCACTTGTTTCAATTCTTCTTCTGCAATCCAAGTGCTTTCATTAGCAGGTTTACCAAGCCACTTCACTAAAAATCGTCTATACGGGTTCTCTCGTTTAGATTGAACCTCTTTCATATCTAACACATCTTCAATAACTTCAACCTTAGCAATCGGAAGGTGTTGAATTTGAGCGTCTATGGTAGATGCAGTCCCATCACATCCCTCAAATGGATACAAGTCCATAACATTGAAAATAGGACTGATTTGTAACTCAGGCAGTAGCTCAATTAGGTAAGCATTTGAACTGATTTTTCTTTAGCACCTTACAAGGTCTAAACTTTCTAGACTTGAACTTGTGATAAGTACCCTTAGGAAATCTTTCTTGCCTCAAGGGCACAAGTACTTGATCACCTTCCTCAAATTCCTGCTTACGACGATGTTGATTTGTAGTAAAAAAGTATTCTGCATTGCTGGCTTTTAAAGAAGCCTTTACCTCTTCATGAATTTTCCGAATATGATCAGCAAATAACTCTCCTTC